ATTCTCATTCAGGGTTGACTACCGTTACGCCCTGGCCTAGGCCTCCTCAGCATCGCCAGTGGGACTCGAACCATGGCAACGCAGAGTATATTCTAGAGAAATTAGCCACTACTTCACATTGCCACAACTATTCGTTGATCACAGGCATTTTCCCATATTACATGCTGTGGTGGGATTGTCAATGAAACAAAATTATATTGCTATAGTAACCGATTCCTGTTTTATTCCTCTCAAAAACCTGCGTATGAATGAACAGTAATATAGGAAAAAAAATTTGCTTTATCGATAATCCCATCACAGAATGTGATATGGCAAAATGCCTGGCATTCCTTAAACTTCACATCTGCCCTGTGACCTAAGGGCAATCGTAGCAGTTTGGCGTAGGGGTTAATTTGTCTCGATTATACGCCGCACTACCATGGCCCGAATTCGAGTCCATGTGGGGATGCCGAGGAGCCAAAGGTGAGCTACAAAATGTAGTCCCCCTGAATTATACTACCTGTTGGGAAGGCAAGGCTACGTGAAATTCAATGGAAATGTAAATTACATTCATATATCATTGTGGGAAAATTCAACTACCAGTGTCATTTTCACCTCATACCAAATAGGGTGAATACATCTCACCTGTATGATGTACTGGTAGTCTCGAAAACCTGCTTATAAACGAGAAGTAACTTTTGATGCTTGTGCATACATGCGTGCATGTGCCTGCGTGTCTCGTTAGTATTTTCTGTGACGGATTCAGTTAAGGGAATGGCGACTTGGATTCCTAGGACCTGATACAGTCAAGCCATAGAGTTATTTACTTAATAATAACTTCTGAGATAGCCATGGATTCATTATAATCCACTTTATATAGTAGACCCTAGGTATCATCGGCGAACAGAAATTTTCATCAGATACTTCGATTTATTAATAGATCTGTAGCTATCAATACCGTAAACATTCTACGACCTGATCCTTCGCTCTGACTGCAATTCTATGCAGAACTATACTATACTATACTATACAATATTTTTATCAAGAAAATAACAAAAAATAGAGGAACCTAACCGGATTTAGCTTTCTAGTTCAACGGTGGAGTAAATGATTAGTTTACTTAGAAGCGTAATATTTTAAAGTATAAAAAGATGTAAATTTACTCGTCAAGTTTTGCCGTTCGTAAGTCGTATCATGCTGGATATTTTCTATAGTATTGGTTTGACCTCGTTTCCGCAACTTGACTGAAGCGACGGGGAGGCCTTTTGGAGTCTACCTAGTCCAGTCTCATGTTGCTTTCCAGCATCAGACAGTTGATTTCTGCATTCTCAGACGTTTCGCCAACAGCTTAGTCGGCATCGAGAGGCGTCATCCTTAGCACATAATTACAACTTATCAAATTGGCAATTGGAGACTGCGATTAAACAAAAGGCCACGCCATCCTTTTTATATCTACGAATATTTTCTATGACTTGACGTGAAGCCATTCTAATTTCACCTAGTAGTCATGATGTATAGCATCTCATATTTTCATTTAATAAGGCTACAATTACCTATTTTTGTTCAGCTCTAAAGTTGCTAGTATGATGGTCATTTGATAGAAACTGAAAGCATCGGGTGAATGTTTTTGCAAAGCATAATTTTAACCCTTTATCATTGCTGGTCGATGTGAGCCTTATTCTCTTACTCTACCAGTGGCGATGGCATCTGGTTTTCGAGCTAGGCAGATGTTGGAGTCATTCAGATGTCTTCGGTACTGCCTTCACAGGCTTAGCAACCTGGCCGGCTGGTTGCGTGTTTACCAATGTTTACCTATTCGGGGTCGTTGCCTTTTGCCCTCACTCCAGCATGTCGGCAGCACCATCAGACGGCCTCCACATATGCTCATGCTGGATAGGCTACCGCACATGCACGCCTGCACTTTTACTCACACCTACACCATAAAAGCAGATATTATTACACGCTTTTCGGTCACACAAATCTCCACTCTACCTCAAAATGAGTCATGATCCTGCTTCGTCGATTGTTCAGTTTTGTTTCACGTGTCTCTGGACTCTTGATCTCATCTACCGCACTCTTGATGCATATA